AACCATGATCCGACAAAGCTCCTTGAAACCCAGCGTGTACATGCAGTTTCCGCTCGTTCGAGGCTTGGATAGCTCCCACTAGAACGGGGCGTGCACTTGCAGTTCTCGTTTGTTTCAGTGCACGTTTGCTTCACTTTGTGCGAAGAGTCTCGTGCCACGCGCAGATTTGACATGTCGGGCTGTGCTCGTTCAAAACCGGCGTGCAATTGCGGATCCCAGTCTGTGGGTCGACTTTTCGCAGGATGGGTCGACTTCGCACGAATCGGGGCGTGAGCTTGGGGAGGGCCGACTTCACACAACCTGGGTCGACTTAAGCCCAGTGCCTAGTACTACTACTGGGGTGCACTGGGATCGCGCTCGTACCGGTCGTGATAAGTGGGCAAAAACAAAAAAGTGCGGTTACCAGAGACACTCGGGGCAATCAATCGGTCAACGGCCTGTGTATTTTGATTGGATGTTCTTCTGCCTTTGCCGCTCGACGCTGCAGCCTGTCACAGCCGTCGTCCCGTTGACCCCTCGGTGCCCACCGCGCTGCTTGCCCCCGCTCCGGCATCCTGCGCTCCCAGGGCCTCCTCGACACCACCCCAGTGTCCGCTCCCGATTCCAGTGGAGCCCGGCGCCGGCACCAGCGACAGTGCCGTGGCGCCGCTTTGCGCTTTGCCCGCAGGATTAAGCAACGCACATTCAACGCACCTACCCCGAGCTGCTGCGCTTGCCAGGCGCTCGCAGAGGTGCCGGCTTGTTGTCCTTGCATTGGAGTTCCGAGGCTGCTCAGTTTGTTCGCCTCCTGGCTCGCTGCGGGGCCCGTGCGGTGGTTCGCCCATTGCGACCTGGCAACCATAGCAGCCTTCACCTCCCGATGGTCTGCCTTGCTCGCCTGTCCTGCCGCCAGAGCCTTCGGTGCCAGTCTGCTTGGTCTTTCCCTGGCCGGCACTGCAAATGCTGACGGCGACCAGCAGCTGCTCATATGTCCTCTCCTCGACTTGATTCGACGAGACCCCAGCCCTAGCCAAGCCGTTTGCCCCCGCACCCTTGAACGAAAACTCCCGTGCCTACAAGCCCGCCTTGCCGCCGTAGGGTGTCGCCTTGGGTTTGGGCCTGCTGCGCTGGGACCGCATCGTGGATTGTCTACAAGGGTGCGCCCGAGCCGCCTCCCGCTGCGCTGAGCACGGGATACGCCCATCACAGTGGGCCGCACGACCCCGTCACACGACTTTGCGCTGAATGCCTCTCCGGGAAAAAAGTTTCCTTACCGGTGCAGCGGCAGTGTAGCTGTCACGCATTGGGACCATGGACCTTTTCAGTCGCACAAATGATACAAAAGCCCGAGGAAAACAAAGAACAAATAATGTTTGCTTGCTTGAAGAAGCATGGCATAGCATGGCTCTTGCGTGAATTCCCCGTGCAGCCTGACCTGCAGTGCGCGTGGTTTCTCCTGCTGGCCATGTTTTGCCGTGCACTGGTTGCGCACCCTCCCACCCGACCGTTTCGCCGGCCATGCGCGAGGCCGCGACGAAACCGTTTGGCAATGCTTTTTTCTAGTGCTGCTAGGTGCCGACGCCGACCATGCCGACCCTGACGTCGTTACTGCATGCGCGTTTGGAAGGTCTGGGGTTGCAGTGCCCGCTGCGGCAGCATACTGGGCCGACATTGCCCATCCTGCGAGCTTGTCGCCCCGATGCCACTGGGGGTCTCGCCGAGCGGGAGCTCGCTGCAGGTGCAGCTCCCGCTGCCGCCATCCTGCGAGCCGGTGTGCGGGGGCTGGAGGCTGACGCGACGGCGCAGTTCTTGGCAAGACCTATTTGACGGCTACAGCTCACACGGCACAGTTGTGTGCCTACGGTGACCACCACGCCGCGTGCCCTCGAACCGAACTGCTTGCGAAGGGCAGGGGCTACCCTCGCGAGTCAGAGGGGCCACGCATGTGAAGCGCAACAGAACGCCTCGCCAGGCGGTGTAGCGCGGTACACGACAAAATCAAGGCAGCGGCGACCAGCTGGGTCGACGTCAGAGGCGGACGTGCACGCCAACGTTGCGGGATTATCTGCCTCTGAAAAAACGAAGAACTGCAGACCAATTTTGCCCTTGGGTCCGACGGCCTCATGCGCGATGCGCACCCATGCATGCCCGAGGGGCTGCTGGACTGGACTGCTATGACAGCACGATGCAATCCCTCCTACCCCCAGCCTCCTTGGCCCGTAGTGCACAGGTTGCACGGGGACAGACGTTAGACAGGCGCGGTGTAAACAAAAAACAACACGCAATGACACGCAGCTGCTGCGTACTGGGCTTCCTGGGCCGATGCATAGCGCGCCACTTGCCAACGAGATGACCCCCCTCGCCCGCAACATCGTTGGTTCCGTCGCCTCTGACCGCCCGCTGGCTGAAACCTTTGAGTCTTTGCGCACTGCCCGCGACTCATTGGCAGCCATCGGTTTCGAACCCCCTATCTGGGCAGAGCAGCTGCAGGCTGAGGTGCCGTCCCAGCCCGAGGAAGACCCCTCCCTTGATCTCACCCGGCCTTGCTGGATGCACGCTGCACGTGTCCTCACCGCTTGCCCCACCCAGCCAAGAATTCACCCTTGCCTCCCCGCTCTTCCGAGCAATTGCCGTTGCTGTTCACTGCCGTGGAGACGACCTCGCGGCCTGCCCGCACTCGGGCCTGCTAAGGGCGAGGGGCCCAGTTGAGCGTGCGGCCGCACGGGTCTGCCGCAAGGCTGGTGCAACGGTGCAACGGTCGCCATCAAGGTGCTAGTGCGGGACCTCTAATGTCAACCGTGTCCGCCAAGACGACCGGCACATTGAGGTCATCGCCAACGGCACTGCCGCTTTGGGGAGGGGCCCAGCTAGCTGTCGACAACTGGTGCCGCACTGCTCGCGGCACGACGAGCCAAAGAGAGCACCTACCCCGAGCTGTGCAGATCTAGCCCCTGCAGGCTCACGGTCCTTGCCATTGAAGTCGGCGGCCGCTGGAGTGCTGAGGCCGCCTTTGTTAGACAGCTTGCACGGTGCAAGGCACGCTCAGCTCCGCCACCCTCGAAAGCTGCCGCCATCTCCGCGGTCACCCCCCGTGGTCTGCACTTGTATTGTCCTTTGCCGCAGCACGCTCCGTCGCAGCAAGCCTTCGGTCGCTCCCACTCACCGGCACCGCGAATGTCGATGGAGAGATGCCCCCATTGAGCGACATGCTCGCCGACTCTGCCTCACTTCCTCCTCTCGCCGTCTCGTGTGAGCGGCGCGCGCTGCGCCTGGCAGCCTGCCTGTATGCAGTGGCCTTTCGCCCTCAGGCTGCATCGCACGTCGGACGGTGAAAAAGTTGCGCTGAAAAAAACAAAAAAGGCAATTACAAAGGTCTGCATGTTTCGAGCCATGCAAAAGACAAACCTGAAGCTCAGAACGCAAATGAATGACATGATTCATTAGATAAGTACTGGTTCAAGGACGTGGGCCAGTTAAACCGACATGATTCCGCATGGGCACCTGCATGCTGTGGGTTTTTGTAGGAGACCGTTCATTCGAGCAGTCGTTAAAAGGTGGCAGATATGAATTTATGCATGCGATGAGCGCTGGCCCAGTCAGCGCAACAAGCCTGGATGCAATGACGTCATGTCCTCAGCATGCGGACAGGCCCGTGCAAATGCAGCATTTCGAACATGTTCATGTCGCTGATGCTATGCAGGGTATGAGTACGGCAGACGAGGGGGAAGGTGATGACCCGGACTGGTCCGAGGCCACCTTGCGCGCATTCCAGAGGCATGTGAAAAAATGTATCTTGCTAAGCGTGCAAATGGACATCACGCAAGCCTTTCCCAAAAGAGCTCAATACCAAAGTTCCAGTCGTGCCCGATGAACTTTTCGATTTATCGTACCGTAGTTGTCTTGGTTTACTGCATGGGATTCCAACTCGGACGCTGTTGTCCAAAGCATCCCTGCCAGTCGCTTGATGTGCAGGGCAGCCTCACCCCGAGATTGGAAGAGAACGCACTGGCCGAAGACAACCACGGCAATGCGCTGAGACAGACTTATTTCATTCGGTGCGTGCAGGTTGTTTCTTGAGCCCGACACGAGGCAATGATGTCGACACCGGGATGCCGCTGGAGGAGCCAGTGCCATATTCAAAATGCTTCAGGATATTCTTGTTGATGATAAGCAAAACGAGCTGGTGGCTGACCCGATTTGCATGATAAGGTTGCTTGCTCAACTCGGCGCGTCCACGGCTCAGATAAAGCACGAGATTGTGCAGGAGACGGGCAACGTGGCCACATTGCAGCTTCAGACCACTGTTGGTTCCAGGTGGGGTTCTGCCATGGCAGCTGCCTTAGCGAACCTGTTCGAAACTTCATGTTACGATCGAAGACCTGAGATGTTGGACCTTTGTTTACAGAGTGGCGGTGCAATCCATTGCCGCCGACGACAAACAAAACATCTGGCAAGTGTAGGCGACATGAGGCGATGCTGAATTGCATTATTCACCGTTCCGAGGAAGAGAACATGCAGCAAAACATGTGGGAAAGTGCCTTGGAAGCCGAAAGGGTGGAGCAACAACTCCAGGACAGTCGACTGAACAATGCGAAACGTCCAGTGTATTCTGACCTTGCTCAACTGCCAGGAGCGACCGGTGCCTCCAGATATGTTCTTTGCCGGAACCTCATTCATAAGCAGTGAACACAGCGGCTTGGAGCCAGCAGGCAGGGTCACAACTCAGGAGGTAACGACTCCACACGAGTCTGTACCAATCCTCGACTTGGGCGAGCCCGAGGCCAATTTGGTATGCACTCGGATCGGCTGGAAGTCAACTCATGAGAAACAACATATGCACAAGTCTCGGTACTTGTTGACTGCAGACGTTGTGGCTCTTGGGCACAAATATTGTAGGGGGGGTATCGGCCGCACCTCCGGCCGCCCTGTTCAACACTGTTCGCTTAGACTTAGACTTACGGCCTACGAGGCACACGCATGCCAGATAAGGGCGGTTTCTTCCGCAGCCATAAAATCCAGCCATGACCGATGCGACAGGGTTCGCACCTATGCGTCTTGCATGCCGTAAATCAAGTGGAAGAGCAGCTCTTGCAGAACCAAAAGCCGAGAGGTGGCATTGTGTCGTCACTGAACATTTTGTTGCCGGACCCTTATTTTCGGTTCCCAGAGTTGCCTCTTGGAATGGGCGATTGGACTTTGCATGCATTTCTGTTCAGGCAGGCCAAGGCGCCCGTCAACACGTTGAGTTCCGAGCACAGACCTGCACTTACAGAAGCAGCTTTGAGTTTCGGATCGAAGCAGGCAGGGTGTTTGCATAGTTTTTCGTTTTTCGATCTGGCGGCATGCAGAGACTGAGATCTTCTTGCTGAATACTGCCACTGCTGCAATTTTTCTTGTTTGAAGCTTCGACCGAGGTCAAGCACCAATGGAGCACCACCTCAAAGTCTGGCCTTTCGCTTTTCCCAGGCACGAGAGAGCTCAAACTGATGTACGGTCGGCTCACACGATTGCAGGTGGACCGGCTGCTGGGCCAGCTTGCGCAAATGAGCGAGCTTCGAGCCGCCGGGTTAGAGCCATGGCTCAGGAAGCTTCGATCGCTGGCCACTCGCTTCTGAGGATGTGACACTGCCGCGTCTCCCGCCGAAGGCGAGCCCATGGATGCATGTCTTATGCGGCATTGTCTGTCGATCATGTCAGTGCAGGTCACGATTCGGTCCACTTGGGCTGGCCGTTTTGATGAGACATTTCTGCAGGCCGCACCGGGTTCGCAAGCTCAAGCTGAAGACTCGTCAGTTGGAAAGCAATGGAGAGTTGTGCCAGGAACGGCAAGGTCTTTTAACGAGTTTTTTCGAAGAGCTGTGCACCGTTCTGAACGGAAAGTACTCGGCAGCTCGGAGCTTGGTTTGCAGAGGGAAGATGCGGAGAAATCGGAGAAGATCCAGAGAATCCTGGCCTTGGCTCACTTGGCTCCTCTAAGGTCGGAAACGTTTTGGACCTCTGCGAACCCTTGGGCGAGCCTTGGGCCGAGAGTGAGAGCAGCGGCAACTCAGCGACTTAGACGACTTCGCCTTTCTCTGCTTCCGTTTGCCTGCAGTTTGCCTGTTCCCGTTCAGGTTTGTGGCCAGCGCGGCTTGTGCCTAAGAATTCGTCGGTGAAGCATTTAGACACGTCCGTAGTTTTCTCGAGCCGACGCAAGGCAAGAGCAGGGTCCACAGAGGAGCTGGCGGCAGCTTTGGCCTCACGTTCCTGTTGCATCCTGTTGCAGCGCCGTCGTTTTGGTGTAGCTTGTTGAAATTACCGGTGCAGCCTCGCCTTGCGAAGGTCGCAGCAGTGGAGGCCATCGAGAGAGACAGAATTTTTTTCAGCGTGTCTTTTCTGCTTGCTTGGCAGCTGTCCGGTCGAGGGCAAGCCTAGACCTCCCACATCCTCCCACACTACCTCAGTCACCCGGCACAGCCGCAACCGACTGGGCCCTGCGGCGTCGCAAGGTCGAGCACGCGCTCCAGGGGTTGCCGGCTCGCTGGGGTCAGGTGGAGAACAGTGGCTCGACCATTGACCATCCGGTGATTGCCGCGTTCCTTGGGGCGGGCGGGGCTCCCTGCGCACACACCCCAAAACGACGTCTTGCTCGGCATGCTTTTTAGTTGTTTTCATCTGCTCGCAGCTTATGCTGCACGCTGCAACCCAAACTGTGACTATACGGTACGGCTACTGATGCCAAGAATCTCCGACATGCACTGCAGGCCGCCATCCGCAGGGAAGAAGACCGTCAGATAATTGCATCACAGGATGCAGAATATGAGGCCACTGGCTTGCCGGCGGTCGAGTTTTTCAAGCTTCCAGCTGTTACCTTGCGAGGAAAGCTTGCGACAGGATGAGCTTCGTCGAATAGCGCAGGCAGAGCAGGCCGCCTAAACTCCTAAACTGTTGTGTCTTTTCCTGTATCCGGCAACATACTCGAACGAACGTGCCCCTGGCCTTAACGACCTGCAGCCCTGTCTCCGGCAAGCCAGCCACGAAAGCACAAGGGCGCATTGCTGTCCGGGCCGAGACAAGCACACCCCCTGAACTCGGGATGTTGCTTGGCTTCCAAGCCAAACCCAATTTGTCCTCAAACCCTAAGCAACCAACAACCCGGAACGAAACGTGCAGAGTTTCACTTCGGAAGGCGGGTCAACCTGCCATCCTGTCGTCGGTGCTAGACCCCGAAATGATTGAAAACTGAACCATTCACATCTTAAACCCTGCACCCCGGACCTCCCTGAGTCTCTAAGTGTAACCCTCCGCCAACCCCAGAAGCCCGAATCCTAAAATTACTAAATCCTGAACCCCGGCACTGCTTTCACCCCGCCGAAAAGGCTTCGAGCTTGCATGGAAAGCGTGCGGTTTCCCCCCCATTTGTTGAACACAACAACGCCCGCAACCTGTAAGTTACGTTAAGCCCGCGCACCCTTAAGCCGGTGACCTTAAACATCCCTAATGGACTAAGCCCTTAGATTTCCTTAATCCTCAAACCCGTAATCCCTCACCCTTAACCTGAAACCTCGACCGCCTAAACCCTAAGCTTCCATCAACAAGCCGCAAAAATATACAAGCGACGCGAAAAATACGAGTGAACCTACACCCAAAACGACAGGCCGAAAAAGAGAGACTGGTGGCAGAGGAAGAGGCCACCGTACTCCTTCAGTCATTTGGGGGCAATGACTGCGAGAAGAGCAGGCAAGACAGCAAAAAGCTGCTGAGGAAGAGGCTGCGAGATTGCTGCACAGAGTTCTGGTCGAAATTGCTGCTTGCTTGAAAAGGCGGCCGCTCTTGTGGAGGAGCGAAGGCTTCGGCGAGAGACATTCGACATGCAGCACCCGCTGCCGGAAGTGCGACGCTTGGAAGTTCGCTTTTTGTTGGATGTTGGGAAAAAGCCAGTCGCCGCCTCTCTGCTCCAGGCCGGGATGCCGCAGGCCGCTCGCCAAAGCAAAGTGTCCCCAGCTTCTTTTCCGAGTCTCCGCGATGATTCAAGGCGACCGTGCGATTTCGCGCAGCCAGTGGAGCTACCATCAAGCGTGCTTTTGCTGAAGATACGCAGGCAAAGTGCTGCGAATAGGCGCGCAATGGCGCATGTGCACTTCGGTAGAGTTCCGATGGAAGGTTTCCGCCCTGTTCGAGTTTGCTGCAGTGGCGGACTGGGATGGACCAGCCTTGGGCGGGTCATTTGATCTCAGGAGTTGGGCGAAGCACGCAACATGTATGAAACCTCTCTGAAGAAAATGCCTCCTCCATTCGCAGCAAGGACATCTTTCCCGATGATGAACCTGCAGGGAAAAGAATCACAGACGCTCAGGCAACACAGACCACATGCAGACAGAGCAACGAGTTTGGACAGCTATCCTATCGTCAGGGAAGCTGGACTCTGTCCTTCCACGATGCTGCTCGTTGCGGAGCACGCCGTGGGCTTACCCACAGTGTCGCTCCTGCAGTAGGGATCGTTGCATACCATGATGGTGGGCCCAGGACGACTGACGCCTGCACAGTGGGATTGTCCCCCAGCCTCGTCAGTTCGATGTTCCGGTGTACAATGACGCAGGTATATTACACGGGTTCACACAATTAGTGAACATCTGCATTTCAGTTGAGGTGACAGGTTGCAGCGACCTAGATTCGCAAACCGTCTCACCCTTAGTCTGACTAAGCACTTAGCCCAGTCGTGCGTGTGATGTTTGGTTGCGCATACGGCTTGAATCAAAAAGTAGTACAGAGCCTCCTGCAATTCGTTGGGCGCGAGCGTCACCACAGCTGAACTTGTCTGTTGAAGGGAAACTGACCGGTAAACGCTTCTGGAGGAGGCCGCAACTGGCGAGGTGCCCTTGGAGCCGGCCCCTGGCAGCCTCGAAGAAGTCACTTCGTTCTTGTCCCGAATGGCAGCAGAGGCCATGTGTGAGCCCCGATGTTCCGTGCAAACCAAGTATATACACAACGGGAGAGAATCCAAGTTCAACCTGTTCGGCCAGGCGCGAGAAGCCTTGCAAGAGGAACGTGACAAACTGCTCAGCCAGAGCCAATTCGCCAATTGGGAGCGCGCTTCTGTGCCTCGGCTCTTGAGACCCAGGTCGCGATGGCAGACAGGCCGTCCTCGAGAACGCCTCAGCCTTGATGCAGAGCATTGGCAAGATGGCCCTGCATGCCAGACCGAATTTCTCCCAGGAGCAAAACGATCCGGGAATCCAGAGGAGCGCCGAGGCCGCCGTGAAGTTGATCCACCTTCAGCCTTCCAGCAACGAGCTTCTTACATATTCATCAGAACAGGCACCCGCCCTAGATGATTCAGGTCACGCAGGCCAACGTACGCAGTCACCGTGGTGTGCACTCCCTGGCACGGCGCTCGTCCTGTGAGGCAGTGCTCGTCCGGAGATCATGCCCTCTCCCTCTCCACCTTCACCGGAAGCGGGTTCACCAGCCGAAAGCCGTCTGGCTGTGCCCGATGCTGCCGAGGCCGTTTGGGCATTGTGATCTGATTGCGATCCATGATTGGAGCATGATGTCGCAGAAACCACGGTGCCGCACCGACAAGGCTCTTCAGTGCATTGAAGAGGAGCGGATGGCATGCCTCAGCCTTAAGCCTGCAGCAACACTGCGTTAAATGCTGCCAGCGATGCATACACAGGCTTCGCATTGTTGCATGCAGGTCTCGAAGAACTAGAGCGGCAACACGAGGAGCTACCTGTTTTCTGAAGTCGTCCATTGCTTGCTGCACCAAGCCTAAGCCTGAAAGGCCTTTGTGGAGGACATGCAGCAAGAAGCCGAAGACATCCGTCGAGAGGAGGCGCCCCTGTTGTCCCGTACACTCAACATGCAGGAACAAGGTGTGCTCAACGGACGTGAATCCTGAGGTTTGTTTCTTGGTGCTGGGACATGGATGTATCAAAATGAAAGCTACGTCTCGGCTTCGAACGACCTCCACATGTCTGGGCTTACAGGGAGTCGACTTGTTCTCTATGCTCTGCATGGGCGCGGCGTCCTACGTTGGAAGTGCTTGCAGATTCCAACTCCTATGTTCGAAGTGCAAGCCACATCGATTCACACTCTATCACTGAAAGGATCTGACCCTGTCGAACTGTTATCTGTTGACGCGAGGTGTCTCTGTCTTGCCTCCTGAACGTTTCCATCGTTTACTTCACCTGCATCTCTCTGACGATGTTGTCTTTGCGAAGTTCCAGCTCCGATAAGCTTGCGAGTTTTTGTGATGGAGAATGCATGGTCCACATCGAAGACAGCGTCTTCGGCTGGGCCGTTCGGTTTCGTCGGCTTATTCCATACCGCCGTTTGATGCGGACTTTCATGTGCATGTTGCATTCAGCGCGCAGGATACGCGCACAGTACAGTCTGGTCACCCCGGACCCCGACTGGGACAACTTCACTACCACTACCGTTTGTCGAGATCGTGCGATAAGAAGCAGCTATGGATGTTCTGACTCTTCAAGTTGCTTGTATTAACTGTAGTGCAGAAATCACATGCTTTGCGGTATGGCTGCGGCAGGTGCGTGTGCAAGAGGAGGTGCGGATGCATCGCGAGGCCGCCCCTGACTTTACCTCGTAGACTCAAGCCCAAGGCATCCCGACACCCATAATGGATGCCATCACCAGCAGCAGTCACATGTCATGCAAGTGTTTTCGTTCACGGTTGGCCCGAGAGAACAGCACCTTCAAGCCTCAGTCCATACAGCCAGCCAACTCTTCCACCTTTGCTACGACACAAGAGGAGCGGATCTATCGGTGGCATAGTTGCGGCCCTTATAAGAGCACTGGAGAATAGCTCACCTAGCGCAAAGCGCACAGCTCCGTGAAAGATGCGACTGAGTTTGCCCAGGCCCCAGTATTAACCGCGATGCTGTGAATTTGCTGTAGCGGGGATTTCATTCTGTGTATCACTCCGCACAGGTCATCCATAACGACGTTCTTGCTGATCTACGTTGCATGTGGAGGCTGTCGAAAGCCTCAATGGCTTTGCAGCGCTTATCTGTACATGCGCATACCCACCATACGCACTGCTGATACTGCAGGCATGCCAGCGGAGAAGCAAGAAGCCATGGGGGGCAAGGAGCGAGCAGAGGCTGGGACTACTTCGCAGAGGGCCACATGTCCGTCACGCAAATCTGCACGTGCCACATGACCGTAAAGCAGGCTAAGATGCTCAAAGCCTTCTGCTCCACAGCGCTGTAGACTACAGCACTGAGCCACTCGTAATCGGAGTGCCATGGCAGTGTGGCATCGCCATGTCGCTGGACGCACCTGTACGTGTTTGCTTGCCGCTTTGTGGTTACTTCCTCCGCGAAGTACGACTTGGTCTGCCGGATTCACCAACGCTTCAGTCGCCCCGGCTCGACCTTTGCTGCAGCGGCGGGCATCCGACTTGGAGGAGCGCAGGGCCAAGTGTCCTTTGAGCCAGGAGCAGCTAGAAAGTGACCATGGAGACAAGTGGGAAGATGTGCGGGATATTCTCGTCGGGCTTCGGGCATCAAGCCCTGAAGCCATTATGCGGGTTCCTTTGGAGCTTACTCAGAATCTAGTTCCCTACTGTCCTTTTCATGTTTGCCATGGTCTACGTGGGTTCTCGCAGAAAGCCGTTTTGTCAGTGCTGTGCATGGGAGGCTCGTTTCACTGCTCTCCGTTTTCAAGACCCCCAGTTCCTCGCAGCCACCGAGAAGGATGACAACCAGTCAATCAGAGACCGTGCAAAGCAGTGGTCACTACTCCTGGGCTTAGAGGAGATGGGCATGTTCCTTGGCTCGGTGATTACTTTCCCTAATGCCCAGCAAAAGTCTAGTTTGTAGAATGCCCACGGCCAGTTCCATGCAGCGCAGCTACGCCCTCATAGGCAAACAGGTCCACCACTGCGAGTGTGGAGAATATCAGAATGGGGACTAGTGGTTGGAAGTTTGAAAAAGGCGCAGCAATTCCGCCGACCTTGTGCTCCGACGTTGCCAAGACAGGTCCAGGTAGGTTGTGTGGAAGGCTTGTGGGCACTGAGACCTCGGTGACAAGATACAGAATACAGGTTTACCCTAGCACCATACGCCACAGTCCCTCAGAACAAGCCTTTGCGGACATGCCAACATAGAGTCTTCAACTCTTTCCGGAGCATGTAGTCATGCAGACACTGCCGCTGGCAGAAACAAGCTTTTATGCATACCTGCGGACGTTCCACCCTCTGGAGCCTTTGGTCGCGAGGTTCGACAAGATGATGAATCTCAACAGCGATGCTTTCAATTTGAGAGAGCCTGCTGGCTTCGAAGTCCTGTCGGCTGACGGCGAGTGGGTCGAATTCAAAATCGTTTGCCCCGTGGCACGCATAGCTATACTTAGCTTTCGGGCGTTCGTCAAGCTTCACGCTGATACTGGCCGGGTCTGAAGAACTTGGAACGAAGGCCAAGGTGGCCGAGGCGATGGAGGTCTCGAATCTCCCTCGCTGTAGGCTTCAGAGCTTCAGAGCTTCAGCGTGATATGGTGTTTGTTCTAGGAAATCGCTGCTGTGGTATCTAAGGCTCGTCCAAAACATTGACGGAAAAGAGCCGCTTCGTCAAAGACAGAAAGTATGGCTGGATTTATGGTGGTGAGACGGAGTACAGCCAATGGTCATAACTGACAAATGTCGGAGAAGATCCTGAAAATTTGGGGGCTCGGGTGTGCGGCGAGATGAGGAACAGGGCTGAATAGATGTATCGCCGCAGCTCAAGCCGGACAAGCGCCGAGCCATTGCTTGATACTTCCATCCACGTCGAATCCAGGGTGTGGCGGTCATGGATCTTGCACACCTGGGCAAGCTCTGCAAGCTCTAGCTGCCCCGCCCACTCCGAGCTGCAAGAAAAAATCATCACGTCAGCACTTCTCTGAACAACATGGTGCTGCCACCATGCGCAGGAAGCACGGATGCGTGCCAAGAAGCACCAGGAAGAAAGCAGGGAGCGCGCGATGAAAAGAAGTCGGCATCCAAGCTGAGTTCTTTGTGCGAGAATCCTTCAAGCGTCGGCCCAAGCCGGCCCAGGAGAAGAGATTCAGGAGAAGCAAAAGCAAGCCAGAGAGAGAGGAAGGCCAGCATGCTGCGGCACTGCAGCAAACCCCGGCTCTGTCTAAGATGCCTCAGTGCTGCACTGCTGACCATCGGCTGGCCACACCAGGTCTCTCTCAACGCGGCAGAACCGTAGATTGGGCCTTGTACTGTGCAGCTGGACTATTTTTCATGAGCATTCAGCAGGACCGAAGCACAGGCTGGAAACGCCACGAGTTGATTGACCCCCGCGACAGTTGCATTTGCCCATCTGGATCTCGTGGAATGCACATGTCAAGCGCGAGGTGGGAGATTTTGTCAAGCATTGCGAGGCCGCGTGGCCCGCACGAGCATAGTTGCTGATTTTTGCCGGATTGTCATACTCTTCCACGTTCCGGCCAGGCACAGAAGAACATTGCCATGGTGTCCTGGCAGAAAACATTTTCTGAGTTGCTTGGCTATAGCATCGGCGGTATGTGCCTCCACAGTGTTCGTGTTGCTGCCTCGCGCTGGGCTAGGCTGTCAGACCAGATGACGGCTGAGGACAAGAAGCAAGAGGCACACTGACAGACAAGCATGGCAACATCAGCAATATTACTTATCCTCGTTGCTAGGCATCAGAGGAAGCCGGTTTATTGATGCGCATAGTGCGGACCGGTTCCAGATCGTTTTGAGGTTGATGCCAGAACCTGGCAGTGGATGAGCGAATTGCTGCCTTTTCTCCAATCGAGGTTCTGTTGGGAGCACAAGGCCAGATGGCTCTTCAAAAGCTCTTTCGCCCCCCCACTCTGTGCGAAGCTTAGAAGCTGCTAGATAGCTCTCCAATCTCGGAATTCCTGCAGCTCCTGCAAACACAGGCACACCATGGGATACGTGAGGCGTGGTTACAGAGCGTGCACTGCCGCGTCTAGGACCGCCTGTCTCCTCCATTGCCACTGCGGCCATGCTTAATGTGCCAGGGCTGGCCACTTGCCCAAAGAAATTCGACAGCTCTTGCTCAGTCATCTGAACAAGCACCGGAGCAGGCGCGAAAGTTCCAGTACGTTGTTGCCTCTTGCTTTCATTCTGCACGGAGGTCGTTCGTTGAGGCTTTCAACCCACTTCTTGGCAATCAGCGGAAAGCGAGCTTCGTCTGCTCTATCTTCTAACCTCGCAGCTTCTGCGTCACACGAAGTGGAAGCATGATGCACAGACCCGTTTGCATGTGCTAGAGGAAAGCACTGCCACTGCTGCCCGAATGGACGAAAAAGGCGGGCACCATCTCAGCCGAATCTCGCTTGTCAGGGTTTCATAGTCAGGGTGGCTTCATCGACAACCTGCTGCGTCCGATTCTGGAAAAAGCCTCAGGCAGAACAATGGCCCGGGACTTGTCAACCAGACCTTTGCACGAAGAGTGTGCACTACCGTAACAGTCTCACTTTGCATAGAGGGAAATCATGGGAAGTTGCCTCCAGTCAAAGCATCTCAGCACCGGCTCTGTGCCAGCATGCAGCACAGGTTTGCCTGTGGTTTACCTGTTGTCTTCAATGTACGGCGAGCACTGTCCACCTGACCGAGTCGACACCCTTTCTATGATTCTAGGTCAGCGTCAGAGCGCATGCTGGGGCGAATGCTGCGGTTCGGGCTAGGTATGTGCACGCGACAAGCGTGGGTCCTGGGTCACTTGCGGTGTCAGGGTGGTGAGTTTCGCTGGGAATCTTGATTTTGTCGACCCTTCGCCCGTGCAGCAGGACGTCCGAGATGCCTCCGCAGCTTACACCATTGCAAAGTCGTTCGCTTCGAAGCCGTGCTTCGTCGTTTTCCGGCATTTCCGGCCAGTGCAGCGGGCAGATGCTACCGACGACCTAAGTGCGCGGTCTTACCGAGAGCACGCACCCTAACCACGGCTACTGTGCCAAGAGTACAGGTCTTGGCAGTCGGGGTAGTCTCTTGAGTTCCTAGCTGTTCCACCCGGGCTGCTGCGCAGGGAGGGGCGAATTCAAGCGATCCCACAAACAAACGGGAGGATGTTGGTCCATGTTGGGCCACGCATCGGGGACAACCGTGGAAAGCTTCCGCTCAAGAAGACCCACATCGTCAACACAATTGGCACCTCCATCTTGGACCCTTCGAGGCTGTTTCGATTTCTGGAGCGACTTTCCCGAAACGGCGCTTTGGCTTGGGGGATTTGCGGGCCCGTGGTTCTGATCAAGATAGATGCTACAGGACCAGAAATGGTTGTTTAACAATGCGCCGCGGCGCGATGCAGCGTGCATTCAGAAAGTCTAGTGTTGTGCGCGGGATTGCTGAGAGCAGGAGCTTCTCATTTCAATCGGTGCCCTTTGTCTGTTTCAATCGGATCAGTTGAAAGTTTTGCAGTAGCCAAGCTGCCAAGGAGCTTGTCAGAGTCGGTGCCAGCCTGCGAATCTACGAGGCGATCAGGATATAGGGTGTAAGTAAGGGAGCGGAGCCGCAAATTCCTGCAACATCCAGGAGGGTGCTTCTCTGATGCAGCATGTGGACAGCAGGAGCCTGAGCAAGTTGGACATTTGGTGTTCCTGACTCCTTATAGCTCCCGCAGAGATCCACGGAATTCGCCCATGCCCGCCGGCAAAGTCACCAACAAACTTCCGCAGACCATGTAGACGCCTCGTTCCTTCTTGAGGAGAACGGAGACAAGCAGGATACATCGGTAGAAGTCTTCATTTAGAACTGACATGGAGACTCCTTGCCATGCTGTTGCTTCCGCAGTCTAGGGCAGGCCAGGTGACTGCCATCTTCTCACCCGGTCCAACTGGACTTAACCTTGCAGATTTCACTTCGAGGTCTTCTCTGCCTCTCCCGCCGAGATGTGCTTGAGCTTGTCATTGTGAGAGAGCGTTACAACTTGCCCAACTTGCGCACAGAGCCATGTCATATCACATCTACTCGGCAGTCATATTCAGCGGAATGCTCGGCCGGGCAAGCATGAATTCACGCACACGGGGCGAGCAAGGTCCGGAAACTCCGATCACAGTGGCCATGCCTTTGGAGGCTAACGGAGCAGGCCTTGACAGAATGCCTCAACCAAACCCTGCCGAAGCAGGCCACTGCTAGTCACAGCCGTACGTGTTGCAGGATCCAGCTGGCACTTGCAGATCGGGGACCCCCAGGGCCGCAAGCAACGGCCAGTACCTCTTCAGCCAGGTTCGGGCACGCGATGCTGTGTGAATGTTCAAGTTCATTAGTTCTGGGCCTTTGTTCTCAGGTCAGCTTCTGATCTACGAGTCTCGATTGCACATTTTTCGCGATTCGTCTCTGTAACCTTTACGGGACCTTCCCCGCTTCTCAGGAAGGAGCCAGGCTTGCACATGGAAGGAGCTTCCCTCTGGCAGAATGCACCGAGCAGCTGAGATGAGCTCAGTAATAGAGCATCGAAGAAGCAGCATTGCATCACACGCAGGACCGGTCAGCTGCCGCATGGCGACTTGACGATGGCATTTGCGTACTATCGCCCCAGGGAAAATTACGACTCCAGATCGCACTGGTGCTTGAACACGCGTCTGAGTGTTTGCTGATTGTTCTTCGGCCAAGAAGCAAGCGTGAACTCAGGAGGCCAAACGCATTCAGCGAACGCTGGATCAGCTGCTGGCATCTCACAATGCTGCACAAAGAGGTTGGGCAGCAATGGATCAAGAAGGACAGCCAAGAAAAATCATTCTGGAGGCCCGTCGAAGCCGCCACCACCGAAGCCGCAAAAAAAAATTAAAGAATTTCGACCGGGGCTCAGAGTTCGAATGGCCGCATTGCTGCGAAGGCACCAATGCTGTGTTGCTCTGTGCTGAAGGGAGTTCGTTCTGTCGATTTCATGCAGGGTGTCTTTTTGTTGGGCCGCTCCTGCCTGAATTCTGAGGCAAAATGGACGAGCTGTAGTGAGATGCCCGTCCTTTTTGCATCGGCTTGTGCAGATTTCTGGAGTCATGCAGAACTGCAGGCTGCCAGGCTGCCAGAGTGCTCACAGACCGGTAACCGTTAATGACTACAGCACAACTCTGTTCTACTTGCGGATAGCGTGTATGAGAGAAGGCCACTGTATTGGTGAGTCCGGCACAGGAGCTTTTCTGCCGAGAGTCGCGAGCTTAGCCGCTCACTCAGTCCGCCATGTTCGTGATGCTCGACGGCTGCTGCCAAGGTTCTACCGAGAAGAGGGCTCCGCCCAACGACGAGAACGTCGCAACATGCATACTGAAGATAAACACAGCCGCCTGAACCCGAGGTGGTAATATCATCCTCAGCACAGAGCCTGTATCATTCTCAACTGATCATGTTTTCCAGACCATTTGCGCGATGAAGAGCGCAAGATGCTGGAGGATGCAGCGCACCGAGACAACAGGTCACATAGGTACTGCATGGGTGTTCTCAGTGCAACCAGTACGGTACGGTCTGCATCCTGGGACACCTGGCACCAGCCTCGCTGCTGAGGCAGAGCGCGCCAAAGAGGCCGCAGAGCGGCAAAAGTTCGCAGCAGAAGAAGCTCTCGCAACAGCTGTACGAAGGAGTTCTGGGTTGGGTTGCTCGTACTTGTATTTGCCTGTGCAGTTTTCCGTGTGTGGGATAACCACGAAGGCATTTGCTCGCTTGGCAGCAAAAGTTTTTTCTCAAGCCAGCAATCACATGATCAACACCTGCAGCATGCGTGCCATCGTCCACCGGCTTTCATTAAGCATACAGGGCTGACTAAATGCTTTTCTCCGGGCAGGGGGGGGGGGGGCAGGGCGGCCCCTTTAATGGCATCCTGGTCCCGCTGCATAACTTCCCTGCGGAGCAACTTGCAAGCGGCGTTTACTTCTCGGCGTTTCATGGCTGCTCGCTTCTGTCCCTTGCTGGAGACACTTGGTTTACCTAGCAGAACACTGTCAAAAAAAAGTCATCGAACCCGTGTGACATTTGTGTAAGGGATGCAGGTGTCAGCCAATGTTCCAAGCATAGGAAACAATTCCAAACGACGTATATTTATCCGAGGCAAGATATCTTCAAGTTGAGACAGCTCATCGCTGAACGCAAGGAGCAGTACAAAGCAGGATGCATTTTCGATCAAATCGGTGAGCGTTTTGTTATACTTGCTTGTGACGTTCCAGGGTCGAGGACCTGTTGAAGACTTAAGACTCAAGCTTAAGGTTAAGGAGAGTCACAGTTGCACTTGCAGGCAAGCGATTCCGGCGAGGTGGCAACTTTTCAACTGAGAAGGAATATGATCAATGGGCAGTCCGCCGCTTCGGAGAGGAACGGGACCGCTGCTTGGCCGTGTCGGAGACGAAATTGAAGCACCCTGGACCCTCTCAAAGCTCAGAGAACAACACCCTCTCGAAGCTTAGAGTTTGACTGTTATGAACGTTTGCCCGCTGAGGAATGAGACTGGAAGCAAGGAGGATTGAATCACTGGAAGGGCGTTTGGAGTTTCTGCTCCAGAGATTTCATCGACACTGTCGGACTTGATTTTGCTGGCTTGTTGACTAAGCTACACCGTCGACGCAGAAGGCATCCGTCGCAGTGCTTTCGTGGTGGTCAGCTGGTTGTGCTGCGTCGCCGAAGTTCCACGCGCGTCGCGCCACATGGAGTTCAGGAGGGAACACACTGCTTGGAAACCGGACGAACGCACTTCTCTGGACTGGAAGCCAATGTTTGCCGGACGATGCCAGGACTTGTACTCCATGAAACGGTCCCGGACAGTATCTTCTGTGGCGGTGAAAAGAAGCTGATTTGTTGCGAAGTTCGTGTCCACGTAGTCCACGTAGCGGAGCTGATTGCAAGCAATTCGCAGGAGAGATCATGAAAGGCGAGAAGCAGCGTCCATGGCCTCGGAGGATATGTCGTCTGCAGCTTTGCGCGAAGCATTGCGACTGGCGGCAGAGATCAAAGGCCTGTCGCCGAGATCATCGGGCTGTGCTTGTTTCAACTCGTTTCGGTCAGATGTCGAGGCTTTGCTGCTGCAGATGCCGAGTCTTTTGCATGGAGGGAGATGTGTCGAGAGGTGCCTTTGGCATCGCACCCAGCGAAACGAAGTCTGTGCCAGCTCATGCAGCAGAGGCAGCAGAAACAAGACAAATGGCTTCCGAAGATCAGCATTCGTCGTTGTGCAGGCCTCAGGGTTGTCGATGCTGTTTCTAAAGTCCATGGTCAATTTGCCAGGTCGATTAATTGACGGAATGTGGAAACATCCATTAACATCGTTAGGGCTGACATTGAGATAAGGTTGCGACTCAGCGATTCCAAGCCAGTACCTCGCTTCGATCAGCAGGCGCAGCAATTGAGCTTCACGTCTCTTCAACTTCATTCTTGCCTGAATCCCGTTTGCCGTCTACAGGAATCGCAGGGCGCGGCCAAGGCGCCAAGTGGCAGTTTGCATTTTATGAATTTATTGTTTACCTTCCCCTTGCTTCGCCATTGCTCGTCTCAGGCCTTTTATTTGGCTTAACCATTTTGTGAGCAACTATCGTGATTGTGTCCCATCGCTCGGCCAAGTCCGATTCCTTCCTGGTTTGCTACACGCTTTGCAGGCTGCTCGCCCTGCAGCGCCTGACCTGTCGGTTGGAGTCTAAGTACTCAAAATTGCGGTCAAGCTGCAGAGGTAGCTTCGAGGTTGTTCTAGGATACTCCAGACGCGAAGATGGTTTTTGCATCAGGTGTTGGCGAAGATGGTGGTGCCCGGACCCTTGAAGCCAGAAGATCAGTCTGAAGGCGGGCAGTAGTCGGCCAGACAAAGCAAAGCTGACTAAGTTTCAGACTGCAACTGATTGCGGGGAAGGCTTCCGGCCGCAGACGCTGGACCCATGGGATGCAAGCAGAATGCTGAGGTTCTTGGGATAGACTAGATGAGGCAGAGAGCTCATTAGCATGTGTTCGCATGATCGGTGCAAGACCTCAGCAGCTGACCGAGGTGGTGTTTCAGAATCCGTGGCGAAGGGCGACAGGTCTGTGAAGACCAAGGAGGCTCACCGCCGCTCTTTGAGCACTCGCAGCACACACCGGAATCCGGAATCCGCCAGGCCAAGACCTGTGGCAGTTTGGTGTGCCTGCAGCTCTGGGAGGCGCCAAAACTCTTTTCTTAGCAAAGGAAGCTGCAGTTTGGGGTGATGCCAGGGCAACTCGCGATTCAGAGGCTCCTCAGGCGACTGCCTTCCAAGCTTTGCGGCAGATCCAGTAACAGTTTACTGACGTGCTTGCTCAAGCCTGCATGGCAAAGTTGATTTTAACATTCAGGCAACAACTTTGAGAGCACAAAGCCAATGAATCTAGAGCTTTCGCGGTGAAGTTTGAGCAGTCGATGGAAGCTTCGTAGCGAAAATAAGCATACAACATGCAGCAGAAGTGATTGAATGTTCTGATGATGGCCAGCTGTGTGCCGCTGGCGCTATCGAATCGTCATGGTCTGGAGTGCCGGGCTGATCTTTCTGTTGATTCCTAGCGACTCGTGACCACAGGGCCGGGGGCTTTTGCTGTCGTCCGAGGTTCCCTGACTCGGAAAGCAATCTGCCTCGTCCTGGCTCTTTGGGTTCCTCCCTCGATGCAAGTTCGTCAAAGCAGCTCAGACACTTCAGGGCATAGAACGGACCGCTTGTGCTAAGGCCGGCTTAGTTTGGTATTTGTTCCTGGTGCAGCAGGATTGGGGTCGTTCGCAGCTGGGTACCGAGCAGCATCCCCGCCGGCACAGGCTGCAAGCAGCCGGGAACGTAATATACTGGCTGGTGCGAAGGCCCGATTGCACGAATCGGCCACTCTGAGTTCGACGCGATTGGCCATGCATGTTCCCTTGTTCTGGAGGTTGTGGGCTCAAGAGTAAGGCAACTGTTGCGTCACGACAGGCGCCGGGCCGTGATGGGCTCATGTTCTGTGGCTTTGCACTAGCATGGGAGTAAGGTTCAACATGTTGTCCACAGTTGTCGGAATGAAGCCCCGTCTTGCTCTAGCTGACTCTCGCTCAGCTGACTCAGCGCAGTTTTGGAAGGGCTTTGCCATCAAGTAAAACAACGCTGGCGCCTGGTGCAGCACATCCATGCGGCAAATGCAGCAGGCTTCCCAGAGGGCCGCTTGCGCAGAAGTTCCATCAGTATGCAAGTCTAGCGGCTTAGATTCGGGTCACGCGGATGGAGCTTGCTGCTGGGAGGCACATGTATTTCTCATTTTGGAAAATTCTCAGTGGCCGATCTGCTGAGATGCAGGTGCGGAGCAATCGTGTTCGCGCGGCCTTTACCGACAAGTTGCTTGTTCTCAAAGGGTCTGAGGCTGTGCTGTTCAGGCGTGTTCTTGCTGTTTTGAGGCCAAAGTTGCAATGGCACGCTTTTGATGTCTTCGGCGACACTGAAAGCCAGGCGGCAAGCTTGCCGGCCCGACTCTTATGTGTCACTGTATGTCGTTGTGCCTGAACACATAGAAAAATCGACAGGAAGACATTGATGCATGTGCAACCGGAGGCAGCACGCGTGGGCGTTACATGTGAGGTGAGAGCATCTCCTCTCTTCCACCTGCTGCCCTCACGTCAGGAGCTTTGTTCAGGGTCAAAAGCCGTTCTGTTAGGCTCCTCTGGACTCTGGTCAGGACTTGGACTGCGGCCTGCAGGCCTTGACTTGAAGCAGAATGTGATGGGCTTTGCTTTCTGGAGAGTTGCAAGATTTCTGCGAGGCAGTGAGCCAAGACGCCTTGCAGCTTGAGCTAGCCTTCAACCTGAGCGTGGTCTTCAGTTGCAGACACTAACCCAAGCGGGTTGAATTCTGAATCTGTCCATGCAAGTGGGCCTTGGCAGAGCTTACTTCGAACATGCTAAGCTGCTAAGCACTATGCAGGCTGCGGCAATGGCCTGCTCGTTTCTTTCTCCGCCTGGCTTCCTAACGAGGATCCAATTCCCAATGCAGACGATTGCCCAAATAGTTCATTTCCTCAGCGACTCAGCGAAGGCTGTGGCAAGTTCTGTCACTTGCCGGGTCTTTCTGCATGGACTGTTTTGACACGTCTTCCTGCAGGATTCACACTTCATTCGCTTCAAGGCCTCGGCGAACCCACCTATGCCCAAGTTCAGCTGAAGAGCAGAGACAAAGCAGGTCAGGCTTTGGCAATCGTCGGCGTCGGGCTGGCCTCGAGCTGGCTACCGACAGCTGACGGCCGAGATCTCTGCAGCTCCAATGGTGAACATGGCGACGGCCAACAGCATATGTTTTGGATCTGCAGTTCAGGCTGGAACTTTGGAGGCTGCAGGGCCCACTGAACTTGACGGAGACGAAGCTAGACTCCGGAGAGGACATAGACTGCGGCAAGAGAAGCAGTCGAGTTTTGCAAGTGCCTCATTGTCGAAGGCAAGCATGCGTGCGGTTTTGGTGTTGCACCAAGTGACATAGGATAAGATAGGCATGGTTCGAATGCATCCTGTAAATCACCTTCATCTCTCAACATGGGAATCAGCAGCAGGAGCGGTCGGTTTTTAGTCATGTGTCAAACGGGCAACACGGCAAAACATCCCAATTACTCGCAAGCCATGGGCGCTTGCGAATGTATGGAGCTGAAGCCGCATGGCCCAGGGGGCACGGGCAGAGTGTCGCGGCTGAACCGAGTTCACAACAGCACCTTTGTGCAATGCCACGCAACCGCTGGTTTTCTTGCCTCGAAGGCAAGCATGGCGTCAGTGCATTCGCAGAAGGCCCTCGGGCCAGTCAGCGAGAACATCCCTGTTCTGCTTGCCCGCCGCATGGATGCATATGTGGCTCGCCGAGGAGCTTTCTTCAAAACAGTTCCAAGCAGCTCTCCTACCGAGGTGAGGGAGAAACTCGGAAGAAGCTCACACTGCCGATCGAGAAACTTGTCGACATCAGAATCAGGAACCAGTCATAAACAACTTCTCAGTTTCAAGTTGTCACTGCTCAGGAGTCGGTCTCGTCCAGAGGAGGCCCTGCACGTGGGGAAGGCTCCTTGGCTCAAGCGGCAGCGTTGGGGCTGTTTTCCTGCAGCCAGGTCGCAGTGTCTTGTCATGAGGTTAGGCAGAACTTGACGCCGGCACATCAAGCGAGCATGTCGCCGGGCAGGACAAGTTAGGGAAGTGTCAGTCTAGGGAAGTAGGGCTGGGACCGCTGGGAGGACACCTTTTGCCGTCGATGCGCAGGCAGCCTGCGAGGCCTGGGACGTGTAGCCGTGTAGCCATCTCCAAGTCAAGCCTCGCTCGCACTGCGAGGTCTTCATATTCTCAGAAAGTTCGTGTGAATCTCGCAGACATGTCTTGGAGGCTGGCGTCTCCATGCTTGTGCATGGCCTGCATGGCAGCATAGTAGGACCTCTAACACGAGCAGCTGTATGGAAGTTTGCCCAGCAGGAAGTTTCATCGAAGCTTCGGCAGCTCAGAGCAAAGTGGCCGCGAGCGAGCCCAGGTCCAATCCACGACTGACGACTACTGTACACTGTCGCACATTGGCGCACACTTGATGTCTTTGCAACTCCAGGACCTGACTTGGGCCAAGAGAAGAAGTGTGAAGCAATTCGGGCTGCTCGACTGCAAGCTCCCCCACCACAAGTATGTACACATCTATATCCAGTGCCCACGCAGCTTGCAATATCATATTGAGAGAAAACAGAGAGACTGAGAGAGAGAGAGAGAGACACCGTAACCATTTTGGCTCAAGACCGTCGATCAGCGCCATCTGAAAAGGGTTGAATTGAGTGGAGTGCAGAATCATGGGTGATACGCCACAGCAACATCAGGGAGGCAGTGGGCATGTCACAGTCTTGCACAACAAGAAGAAACCTCTGCCAGAAAAAAGAAATGTTAGGCGTTCCGAAAACTGGCGATCGCGCGGGTTTCTCCGAAGATGATCCGGGTCTGCCCACAGCTTCTTCACAGGTAGAGCCACCATGGGTGGGGGTGCAGAGAGCACGTGCACTCTCCGCTCTTGGGCAGTTTATGTCAGACGTGGTCAAGGACACAACGCTAGTGGAGTTTGGCCTTGAACAGCAAGCCCAGGCCTCGGGAGCACCCGCATTTTGTGGGGGGTTCAAGCCGGCGATCTTTATGACTTAGTCCGAAGGGACGTCGCACATGGAGCTGCAGCCAACTTAGTTGGCTCGCAAGACGTTGCCGACGAAAACCGGTCCTTGAGGATTTTTGACTTGGCTGCGGGGGCTTGGCCTGCACCAGGAACGGCTGGTGGGACGACCACAGGCACGCTCGACAACCAGACGTTCGATGGTACACCACAAGTGCTTCCTGTACGGACAGAGATGTCTGTCTACGTTCAGAGTGAGATAGACCAGAGTTTGTCGGGAGTGCCAAGGGACTGGCGAAAACCAGTCAGTGCTTTTGGAGGAGATGAGAGAGGTTACAGTCAGGCTGCCCTCCAATCCAGGCTACCTGACACTGCCGGCTCCGCAGCTTGGGCTGGCTGGCCGGGACAGCAAAACAACTGTAGGGATCCTGCTCACCTGCTGAATGCAGGATTGACACCCATTGGTGCTGCTGGACCAAGGGCCACCTTCAACTACGGAGGCAATCCTCAGCACCCAGACGGGATTCGGTGGATGGAGAAACTTCTCTAGCCCAACGGCGGAGGGCCGATCAATGGTTGGCCAGCACTGTATCCGGTGCAGGATGCAGGCCAATGGGACGAGGCCGGCTATGCTATCATCCCTGATCGCCGGCGCAGCCTCGACACCATGCACAAACAGATTCTCCGCTATGTTGTCGGTTTGACGCACCTGCCTGAAGGCAGGAGAAGCGGACAAGGTGCAGGCCATGTCGGCCAAGGGAATTTCATTGGGGGGTATTCCATATCAGTCTATGCCCTATGTCATCGTGATGGGCAGACCCGTGGACCAGGAGGCCACAGCGCCATTGGCGGCAGGGCCAACAACAGCATCAATGATCTTTCAGACGATCAACCGACTACTGAGGCTGTTGCTTGATGATGGCCAGTGGGCCCGCGCTCTGCTTCATGTCATTCCACATAACTTCGGGGGAATCATCCAACCTGGTGTCAACAACCTTGGCGCTGGGCCGAATGGACAGAATTGGTTCCCCTGCGGGTTGCACCGGCTGCAAATTCGCGCGATCACATCGACAACTGCGGTTACCTTTCGTCAACTGGGGGAGGTTTCTGCAACGGAAACTGCAAGTTTTGACTTCAGTCAATCTCT